AATCAGGTGTGTTGGAGCAAGAAAACCTCTAAAACATGCAGGATAGTGGCCCTCGAGGACTGGAGTTTGACACCCCTGATTTAGAATTATCATTTAACCTAACAGTCATGTTTTTGGTCTGTGGGAGGAAGCCGGAGTACCCGGGGAGAACCCACGCATGCACGGAGAGAACATGCAAACTCTACCCAGAAAGGTCCCCGGACCGGGATTTGAACCGGTGACCTTCTTGCTGAGAGGCATCAGCTCTACCAACTGAGCCACCGTGCCTTCATTAAATATGAAGCATTTAATGTTAATTACTTAATATTGTTGCCAAAGAACATCTTATCTCAGTGAGTATGGGTATGTTGCCTTCCATGTACAAGTTCTTGATGTTCATACCTTTAAACATTAGGGGAACAGTTTTACACCCAGAAAGATAGTTACAATGACAGACAACAAAATGTAGATGACTTATTTTCTGCCACAGTTATTTGCCGATGACAAATTTAAACTTAAGAAGTAAGGTGAAAAATACAGCAGGACATGTTGAGTAGTTTATAGGCATAAAAAACTAAGGAAATGTTTATTTTTGTTTAATTATGTTTCACAACTGTGTTCAAAGTTGTACTTGTTACAATGCATTCATATTTTCAAAAATATATTGGTTTTTTTCTACACATTAGATATTTTATATTTTTTGTGGCAGGTTTATACAAAAGATTTTTGTTTCTTAAGTTTTACTGGGTCCAAATTAGGGTCAATTTATGTTAATCTTATCAAATATGTGCACACTAAGACAAGTATTTTTAAGCACTTGTGATTTATTTTGGGGAGTTTAAAAATAATGGATTTTGCATTYCAGTTCACTTAATAAAATTATTTTGAATACAATTTTTATTTGCTGTTGCACTGTACATAAAATTATCTAGAATTACACAAACACTGATYTGTGAAGAGTATTACATGACAAAATTTATGCTGACTTATCAATTAAACAGAACAGTGACAATATTACAAAAAATTATATGTAGATAGAAAAAGGTCACCAACAATATCTGTTAAGAGTATGATTAAAACACTGCCATTAGTTATAACGCTGCTGTCCACATAATCGTGTCCTGAACAGGTAAGTACAAGAAAAAGAATAACCTGAACATTTTAGCACAATTGAGTGCTGTTTTCAAAAAAGCTAATTTTGCAAAATCATAAACTGGATTAAATACTGAGGAATTAATAGGTAGACCTTTAACTTTGAAGGAAAAATATGTTTTGCAATATTTAAATAAAACAATTATGTCCCTCATGCAATTTAGTCCACTTGCAATCGTGGCATTTACTAAAACAGGTCATATTGAAATAATTTATGTTTTTGTAAGGGTTGGTGATTTACAGAATCTTAATTCCTGAGCCCGTCATTCATCATTTGATGGAGTCTTACATAAAGGTTGGTAATTTCGTACACATCATCTGGCATTACCAGTCCATGCTCGGTCATGAGTTCAGTGCACAAGTGTAACACATCTACATCGCAAGGGAAAGTCCTTGAAACAACATTCCTCTAGACATATTTCCAGCTTTGTTAGARTGACAGGTTGTAGAAAATCTGAAGCCCCATAAAGGTTGGGAACGGCATGCATTAATGTTGGACGACCATTAGGGGCCCGGGGATTATTAGTAGATCGTATACGATGGTCATTCCATGCATGGACAACCTCATCCAGCTCCACCTCAAAAAAGAAAAGGAGTAATTAGAAAACAATTTAGTTTTTTCCATTATTCATAACTATTTCAAATGTATGTGCTGAATGCAAGAAACACATTTCTATTACCTGTATTGTTTGTAGGAAGCAAAACTGGATCAGTGATTTATCCAGAAAGCTGTCAACAAAATAACCATCAGCTTTCAGCTGGTCAAAATGGTCCATCCAAAACTGGGCACACTCACTTCTCAAGGTGCACCACCATCGTTCTATCCTTTGATTGCCAGTACTCGGCCCGAGGATAACAGAGTCAAAACCATTTTCCTGCTCAGTGTTGCGCAGAAATCTTTGCATGGCCACCACATGAACATTCTCTGTGCCATGATCCACTCTGACCTTTTGTGGAGATCCATCACATTCCATCACAGCATCAATGAAATAGCCAGCAATAATGCGAGGGTCACTGTTAGTTTTATATGCTTCTAACCAGAGCATTTTCCTCGAGAATCCATCTATGCATCCATTAATGCATATTCCATAAGGCTTCAGTTTGTCGTACCCATCAATATGCCAAACATAATTTGGTCCACGACTGACATAAGAGCGACGTCCCAAACGATTGTGTGCACGCAGGTCAACTCCATTTGGATCCATTAGGCGCATCAGCAGACGGACTGTTTCTTTGTCTGTGACTATCCCAGCCATCCAACATTTCTGGTGCATCCACCTGTAGCCATGCTGTCTACCTGATCCTTGTAGTTGTTGTTCAATGAAAGATGCCACTTCTGCATCATCCGTCTTATTTTTTCTCCGCCAAAGCCGCTTTTTTTGCAGTCTTCTCTCTAATGTCCGGAGGCTTAATCTCACACTATGGGATTC